TAGTGGGGCCACCAAGCTTGAGGGCACCAGAAGAGCCTTCTCCAGCTCCATACTGGGAGCACTGGGAGGTGCCACTGGTGGCACTGGGAGGCCGGGGGTGTCCGTGGGGCGGTCGAGAACATCACCAGAACCTTCTTAGACTCCATACTGGGAGCACTGGGAGGTGTCGCTGGTGGCATTTGGAAGCTGGGGGTATCTATGGGAAGCTCGCGGGCACCAGAAGAACCTTTTGCGGGTCCATACTGGGAGCACTGGGAGGTCTGATGGGTGGCACTGGTGGCACTGGGAGGCTGGGGGTGTCCATGGGACGTCCATGGGACGTCCATGGGATGTCCCAGCTGGGGACTGGGGTGTCCCCACGTGTTTCCACCCCCATAGTGGTGCCACCAACCTTGAGAGCACCAAAAGAACCTTCTCGAGCTCCATACTGGGAGCACTGGGAGGTCCCGCGGGCGGCACTGGTGGCACTGGGAGACCCGAGGTGTCCATGGGACGTCCCGGCCGGTGGCTGAGGCGTCCCCCCGCATCCCTGTCCCCAGGACGGTGACACCAAGGTGGAGTACCGCGCCTGGAACCCCTTCCGCTCCAAGCTGGCGGCGGCCATCTTGGGGGGCATCGACCAGATCCACATCCGGCCCGGGGCCAAGGTCCTCTACCTGGGCGCGGCCTCGGGGACGACGGTGTCCCACGTCTCCGACATCGTGGGGCCGGTGAGGTCACGGCGATGTCACCGTGGGGTGGGCAAGGTCAAGGGGCATGAGGGCGGGGCCATCGACCCCACGGAGGTGGCATCTCGGGGTACTTTGGGAACGTCACTGGTGGCCATGGGGACATCTTTGAGGACCTGTGGGGACGTTACCACGGGGTGGAGGGACAAGGGGACGTGGGGGTGGCACTGGGGGACCCTTGGGGACATCACCATGGTGGGCGGGGTCAAGGGACAGTGGGGCGGGGCCATCAGCCCCGTGGAGATGCCACCTCCAGGTCATCTCCATGGACTTGGGGACATTTTTGAGGGCCCTTGGGGACATCTTTGAGGACCTTTGGGGAGGTCACCATGGGTCTGGGACGTGGGGGTGGCACTGGGGGACCCTTGTGGACATCCCCTGGGTGGGCGGGGTGAAGGGACACGGGGGTGGGGCCATCAACCCCATGGAGGTGGCATCTCCGGGTATGTCGGGAACATCCTTGGTGGCCATGGGGACATCTTTGAGGGTCTTTGGGGACGTCCCCATAGGTGGTGGCTCCATGCTCTGGAGATGTTCCCCACCTTGGTGACCCCAGGGATGTCCTCATGGGTGGTGGCTCCATGTCCTGGAGATGTTCCCCAACCTCAAGGACACCAGCGATGTCCCCATGGGTGGTGGCTCCATGGCCTGGAGATGTTCCCCAACCTTGGTAACTTTAGGGATGTCCCCGTGGGTGGTGGCTCCATTTCCATGGAGATGTTTTCCACCTTGGAAGTCCCCATGAATGGTGGTTCCATGGCCTGGAGATGTTCCCCAGATGTTCCTCACCCTTGGTGACTCCAGGGATGTCCCTATGGGTGGTGGCTCCATGGCCTGGAGATGTTCCTCACCCTTGGTGACCCCAGGGATGTCCCCATGGGTGGTGGCTTTGTGCCCTGGAGATGTTTGGAGTCCCCATGGCGGTGGGGTGAGCTCCTCCATCCCCATCTCCAGGAGGGCTTGGTCTACGCCGTGGAGTTTTCCCACCGCTCCGGCCGGGACCTCATCAACGTGGCCAAGAAACGCACCAACGTCATCCCCGTCATCGAGGACGCCCGGCACCCCCACAAGTACCGGATGCTGATTGGTGAGTTGGGATCTGGGGGGCGGGGTCCTGGAGAAGACCTTGGGGTTCTTGGGAAGGTCGGGGAGAAGATCTTGAGGTTCCTCAGGGGGGTTTGGAGGTGTTGGAGAAGGTCTGGAGATCCTTGGAGACGGTTTTTGAGATGGTTTTGGGTCTTGTGGAGGTCCAGGGTGGATCTTGGGTTCTCTGGGGGCCTTTGAGGAGACTTTGGGGGTCTCAGGAAGGTCTGGGAGAAGATCTTGGGTTTCCTCAAAGGGGATTAGAGGTGTTGGAGAAGCTCTGGTGAGTCCTGGAGGCATCTTGGGGAGGTTTCTGAGGTGGTTTTGGGGTCTTGTGGAGGTCCAGGGTGGGTCTTGGGTCTTCTGGGGGCCTTTGAGGAGATTTTGGGGGTCTCGGGAAGTTCTGGGAGGAGATCTTGAGGTTTCTCAAAGGAGTTTGGAGGTGTTGGAGAAGCTCTGGAGATCCCTGGAGGCATCTCGGGGAGGTTTCTGAGGTGGTTCTGGGGTCTCCCGGTGGCCCCCGGGACGCGCTGAGGTGGGGG